AGCATGCTTTCACACAGAAATTAAAAGTTTGAAATCATGCAATCAATCGGTTCCCGGTTGTCGCCATTTTGAGGGTTAAGGATTACCCTCAACTAAAACAACCTTGTAGTTTAAGTGGAAAGAGTCATCCGCAAGCGGAAACGTGTCTTCCACAAAACTCCAGAATTTCCGGTGGTCTGGGGGCTGAGCGACTTCGAGAAGACCGCTCAGCTGCTGTCCGAGGTCCTCGCGGGTCGGGTGAAACATCCCGCAACATGCTGAGTCATCTAGGAGAGTGCGAAGCTGTGCAGCACAAGTCCCGAGCGATGATCATCAGCGACACTATTAACAAAAGACGAGGCAACATTGAGAGCCTTCGCCACACGTTGAATGGGAGGGAAGTCAGGAAGCCGCAGTCCGTCTGACATGTACCTCCTCTTGTGAAAAGCATCGAATTGGATGTATCAGATTAGCTACGCAATCACATCCGGAAACATTCCGAGCAGCAACTAACGGTTCGGAAAGAAGCTCGAAACAACATGGCCTGAGCAGCAAAGCTACGGATCAGGTCAAAAGCTCGGAGCAGCAGAGCTACAAATCCGAGAAGAAATCAACTACACGGGAGGCTCTCACGTCACTTCAGAAGGCGTCGTCGGTGGAGCTCAGAGGACCTCGCTTCCGCAGCCCACAGCAGCCGCCCTTGTAGTAGACGACGAAGAGGAGGAAGGGTGAGCCAGCAGCCCAAACCAGCAGCAGCAGCGCCAGACCAGAGAGGCAGAGCAGTGCCGCTCTCGGTTTACGCCAAGAGCACAGCCAGTCCACACAGGAACCCCTAGGGAAGGGGACAGGGCCTAAACCCGAACAACCCAAAAGGGAACAAGGGCCGTCAAGAAAGGATGCCACGTGAAAGTCAAGAAAGCGTGAGGCATCACGCGCACGCGAAAGGTGTTAAATGCGAAAACCCCCAGGCCATCATCAGCAGCCCAAGTAGAGCATAAACGCATTCGGCGAGAGGCCAAAGCGCACCTCATTGCACACAGGGCTCCTAAGGGGAGGGAAGGGCCTAAACCCGAAAAACCCAAAAGGAGAGGACCAGCCTAAAGAAACGAGCCCACACCAGCAGCAGCAGTGCCAGGCAGGAGCCAGGCAAGCAGCGCTCGGAGTGGTTCGAAGCACACACCCGGTAGAAGCGGATGGGCCATAGCAAGGTCAGCAAAAGATTGTTACAAGAAACATCCCAGAATCAGGGACTCCCGCCGGCAGCAGCATCGCCACACAAGGAAGCATTGCCGCGCTCAGCAGAAGGGCCTGAGCTCACGCAAGATGCACAAGAGTACCCCGAGGGGAGAGGGGCCTAAACTAAACCCAAGAAACCCAAAGGGGAGGCAAGGGCATCGCGGAGCCACGGAGGCCTGGGAAAGCGAGCTCCACACAATAGCAGCAGCACCACGCAACAAGCGAGGCCGCGCTCATGCATAGAGGAGTTTACGCCAGGTGCACACCGGAAACTCTAGGGGAGAGAAGGGGCCTAAACCCGAGCAAACCCGAAGGGGAGAGGGCAGGGAGTGAAAGTTCGTTCCGCCCGGCACATGAAAGCACAAGCTGCACACACACGAAAGACATACCAAGGGCAATCAAAGAATTGAGGAGCCAAAGGTAAGTAGTCATAGAGCATTCTGGTGCGGCCAAACTAGTCAAGGCCCAGCCCCTGCGGGCTCAGCATCATCAAGGGGAACACTTTTCACATGTTTGTCCAGCTTCTCGGCAGCAGCTGCCGCACGTCTGACGGTAGCCAGCTCCCAATCCCGAGCCTGCTCACACTGTTGATGCCATCGCTCCCGGAGAGAGCCCAAGAGCCTGTTTTGCATGCAATTGCCCGCCGCCTGATCTGCAGCATGGTTAAAGGCGCGGAGCACATCCGCATCGTGATCCGGCGAAGGCCGCCAGCGGGGGTGCTTATTGTGTGACGGCACCCAAATCAAGGAGATAGCACAGCCGCGCCTCACCAGTTCCTTCCAGAGACGGCGCGCGTCCCTCAGCAAGAGGCCCAACTTAAAGGGATCATCACCATGGCCCGAGATGGCCGTCAGGGCAGCTTTGCAGTCGGTCAAGATGAAAATGCACGTCTCGCAGCCCTCACTCCACACCCGGTGGACCGAAGCAAAGGCCGCGTGGAGGGCCAGAACTTCCTGCCGATACGGGGATTGATCCTCTGCCCCAGTGCCCATGGCATAGACACAAGACGGATCGCCGATCACCACCGCATAAGCACCGACAGATCGATGGCTGGAGCCATCAGTAGCCGCATAAATCCTGCTCCTGCCAGAGCCGAGGGCAGCACGGAAAGCAGCATCCAAGTCCGCCCGAAAAGCCCCACAGTCAGAGGCGGCAGGCGCCGGAGGTTTCAAGGGAGTCGACTTGGCAAACATGCGCTCCTCCGCCCGATTCGTCGGAGGGGGGTGATCCCGCCGGAGCGCCTCGGTGCACTCGCAAACCCAGGTCACATGCGGTCGCGACGGAGCAGTCGCTCCGCAGAGGCACTGCATGCGCCTATGCTGCTCGTTCAAACCCTGCCCGGCCGTAAAGAACCAGCACGAGCCTCCCGTGACAGCAGCAGCCCGTCTCATATAAGGAGTGGTCGCCTCATGCATGGCAACGCGGTGCCCACGAAAGCTGAAGCGCGCATCCCGCGACGGAGGTGCCAGATCCAGGCCGCGTGCAAGGCTCGGGTCCGGCCTATGAAAGCTCCGCCAGACGCGCTGGCATCTCTGCATGTAAAGGTGCCGGTAATGGTCAAACAGCCAGCCCTTAACCTCAGCAAAGCTCTCCCATCCGACCTGCACCTCACGAGAGATCCCTAAGTCATCACGGCAGGCGAAAAAGAAGCCATCAGGGCGTTCAACAACGCTCCACCCCAATTTGCGAAGGAGGCCAGGCGCAGCAGGCAACAGCTGATCCCAGCGCTGGCCCCGGGCATCACGCGGCTGCTCCAGAGCAAAGGCCGGAGGCTTGCAGAGGAGGCGCCAGGCCTCGCGGAGCACAGCAGAGTCAGCAGCGCACTGTGGCTCCAGCATCCACCCCACATGTTCGAAGATCAGGACACGCGGGGCTTCAAAGGAAAATTGACAGTCAAAAACACGAATCGCAGCATCTCTAACTTGCTTCATCTCGCCTGCCAGTGGCGTGGCATAGGCAGCGGCCCACACCAAGCACGGGTAAACAAGTGATTTCAGCATGAGGGCCCGCAGTCGACTGCAAGCGGTCACCCAGCGCAAAAGGTCCATGCGCAGCAAAGCTTTTCTCAAGGAAAATTTCAGCAAGCCCCATTCATCATTAAAGGAAACAGTGACACCTAAGACTTCAAGGGTTTGCGAAAACTGATAGTTGAATCGGGCAGCCAGAGCAGAGGCCTCGACATGACCCTCCGGCGCCACGATCGCACACTTTGGCAGGGAAATTTCAAGACCACAAGTGGCATCGAATCGGTCGGAGCGCCGAATCGCATGCTCCAGGTCGCCAAGATCCGCAGAGAAAGTCCAGAAGGACCGGTCGTCCAGGTAGACCAGGCCTGAAACCCCTTGCCTCAACACAGCCAAGGTCCAAAGGTGGCTAAATGCGGCAGCAAGGGTGGGACTTAAGGGACAACCCTGAGCTATACCCAAGCGGGGCTTAAACCAGGCATCACTGTATGCACCATCAAGTTGGACGATGCGCGAAGCTCGCGTGTAAAAGGCCTTCAGCAGCGGCCAAAGAAAAGGCGGCGCTTTCAAATGAGAAAGGAGGACCTCTAGGGCTTCAAACTGGATGGCATCAAAGAACCCCGCAATGTCCTGTTGAACCGCAACGTTAGCGCCACCGCGCATTGCAGCATTCAGCTGAAGCAGGGCACCCGACACCGACGTGCCCGGGATGCCACCGGCATCCGACGGAGAGCTCCAAGAACCTATCCAGTCGGAGAGTTGGGTATTCAAAATCCTTGCTCCCGCACGCCAGACAGCTTGAGAGATGGTTAACGGCCTGAAGCCCCCCTTGATTTTCTTTAAAATCAGCGATGTTTGAAAGATGCACTTACCGGCAATCGTGCACAAGGTATTCTCGCAATGAAGTACACGATATATATATTAAAAACTTCGCAATCCGATATGTTCAAATGAATCCGACTCACAATTATATGACTCAATCAAAAGAGTCGAGCTCGAGGCTCAAAGGTATCTCCCGTTCCAAATAAAAAGTTGGCAGCAGAGAAGGTCGCGCATTCTTCTTTTTCTCTTCAGCGATCAGGGGTTCGAACGAATTCAGTTTCGGAACCATGGCATCCGGGCCGCAGCCGATGCGAAGAGCACGGGCCTGAAGCCGCTCAGAGTTTGTCCCGAACACACCCCCCTCCCTCGTAGATGTCTGGGTCGGGCGGGCGGGGAAAAGTTTTAAAAGCTCAGCTCGAGCAGTCACTTCGTCAGACACAAGAGTATCATCAGAGATGCCAAGGAACATGGACATGCAACAAAAATCGATGAAGCATGTCAAATATTCTTCATGAAAAACCCACCCCAAAAAAGGGGGGGGAATAAATAGCATGATGTGCTGTGGCCAATTGTCAAACACGGCCTGCGGCCTGTCGCCGATTTCAAAGAAAGAAAAGTCTGCAGGCAGAAAAGTTTCTTCTTTAAAATCAGCGATGTTTGAAAGATGCACTTACCGGCAATCGTGCACAAGGTATTCTCGCAATGAAGTACACGATATATATATTAAAAACTTCGCAATCCGATATGTTCAAATGAATCCAACTCACAATTATATGACTCAATCAAAAGAGTCGAGCTCGAGGCTCAAAGGTATCTCCCGTTCCAAATAAAAAGTTGGCAGCAGAGAAAGTCGCGCATTCTTCTTTTTCTCTTCAGCGATCAGGGGTTCGAACGAATTCAGTTTCGGAACCATGGCATCCGGGCCGCAGCCGATGCGAAGAGCACGGGCCTGAAGCCGCTCAGAGTTTGTCCCGAACACACCCCCTCGGATCGACGAACTCAGAGCAGGTAAGCATCAATCAAAGATTGATCGAAGAAGTAAGGCTCCACCTTCACTGCACGAACGACCTTCTGAGCTTTCCAACCTTCGCCCCTGGAGGGCCAATCCGCGATGTTCGAAGATGATGGCACTCTCTCTATCCACGATATGCAAGGGGCGACGGCATCGACCATGGACAAAGCCATGGCCAAGCGATGCATCGCTTCGCTTCTGCTTTGACCGCGCAGCACCACAGATCTGGCGGCATCGTTGTCAATGAAGAAAATGATTCGTCTTCCTGAAAGAAAATTCTGAAGGCCGGCCCTGATCATCAGGAGAGCATAAAGCTCTACCTCGCAGATGATTTGCTCCCCGACCTCCTCACGCCAGCGAACCACAAGGCGCTCTGGAACCTGACCTTGGAAAACTCTAGATACGCCGCTGCTCGCATCAAGAATTACTGCGCCGATCCCGGCGAAGGCCTTGGCAGGCTCCCAAGCTCCATCAGTCCATATCAGGATAGGAGGCTCTCCAGTCGAATCGCAGCTTATGAAGCGGGGCGGCGTGCTCAAAAGAATCTTGACCGTGTGCCTGCACATCTCGCTGACGGTCTTTGGCGAAGGCCTGTCTCCAGCCAGAAAACCAGATAGCCATTTGCAAGATTGCTTGAGGGCACGACCGGCAAAGAAACCCGATGAGAAGTTGAGCAAGCCCAGCAGAATCTGAGCCTGATGAATCGTAAGGAAACCCGAAGCAGCCACGGATTCAAGCTTCTCCACGATCCTATCGATCCTGCCAGGTTTGTTCGATAGGACGATGCTTCTCTTCGACAAGTTGCTCAAGTCGACCTGCATTCCCAAAACGGAGAAAACTTCCGCAAAGGGGTGTGATTTGCTGCCTGTCTTGGCATGGCCCCAGCCCAAAATGTCCAAGAATTCGCTGATGATGCCGTCAGTGTCACTGGAAGAAAGCGATGTCGAAAACATCGGAAAGTCATCAAAGTACACTGAGCTGGGCAACTTGAAAATCTTAAGCAGCAGTTTGTGAAGGCTTCTGCTCGTGCGCACGAACCCGTAAACCGAAGCAGTGAGTCCGAAGAGCAGCGAATTTGCAATGAAGAATTGATCCTCGCCTGCAGGGCCCTTGTGGTAGATCACAGCGAGAGAGCGGTGCTCCTTCTTCATTGGCATCTGCTTGTACGCCTTCGATAAATCGAGGCACTTGCCCAGCCACGACCTTGGGGGCTCGCCTGTAGCGCGAGATCTCTCAGCCTCTTCGATGGCAATCCTTGCCGCTAGAGCCGCCACAAAGTCAGAGTTCTGGAGCTCCAATTTTATGGTGGCCGTGAAGCAATTGTTGATCAAAGCCTCATGCCCGTCATCTATGGGTCTAGGTTTGTTCTCGGCTCCTTGAAGGATCAGGAATCTTCGTATGCAGTTCCAATCGTCAGAGTGGAAGAAAGCAGACACTTGGCTCTCGGTGTATGGGCCTTCCAGGAAGCCCAGATCGACTTCGTCCAACGTAGCCTTCGACAGCAAGTCTTGTAGATCGGCTGCTTGCATGCCACTGGATCCAGTCATGACCTTCCGGCGAAACGAAGCGGTACCCTTGAGATCCTGCTCCGTCATGGTAGCCGGCACAATCTTTCTGCTGAAAGGCTGAGGGCAGGCTGACTGCCCGACAATCGGGACGCCCGACATCATGAAATCGCAAACTTGCATGTCATCGAAATTGTTCTGCTCAAGAAGGTGTTTCCACAGAAGAAGACGCTTTCCCGCCACAACTTTCTCGAACCAAGGGTCGAAAGAAGAATGCAATCGAGCCTCGTCGGCCTCAAACTTTTTGGCGAGGATCTTTATCTTCAAAGTTGAAGCTTACGATGATCTACCACCTCCTTCTCTGTGTTTTTCATGCAGAAGCTGATGGCATCAAGCTGATCCTGATCAAGGGCTACGGCAGTGTCGACGGGATGCTTTAAGGTCAAGGCCTTTGCCACGTGATCCTGCATCGACAAGTACCACCCTACCTTAACCGAACCTTGGGGAGGGTCGGAACTATTAGGGAAAACCGAGGAGTGAACCTTGCTGGACACCTTATCTGCGACTCTGGGGAGCTTTGTAGGAGGGTTCACCTCCTTGTCGGCGTCCTCGGCTGCATTCTCTCTCCCGCTATCCTCCCCAGCAATCTGAGAGAGAAGGATGCGACAAGAGTCGTCAGGCTGGAAAGAGGGCGGCTCCCAAGTGACCTTGCGAAACTCAGGAATCAAGGGGGGAAATCGGCGGTGTTGCCGACCAAGAACAGCAACAGAGTTGGCTGCCAGGTCAGGAGAGGTCTGCAAAGACAGACCCAGGAACAAAGCCGCGCTCTCCAGACAGGAGGCCATGCGTTTGCAAAGCAGAACGGGGTATGCCGACACAGAAGAAGACGACAACTGCATAGAACGCTCATGGAACACAAGGCCCCACGGGCGATGCTCGTGATTGCCTGGACAAGTAGCTCGAAGCGAGTGGAACAAGCCTCGAGTGCACAAGAAACGAGTGGACTTCGGGCGATCGGAACCATGACAACACTGGTCGAAATCAACGTACTCCAAGGCGGCCGGAGGCCAGAGCAAGCCCTCGGCCTCGGCAAAGCACTGAAGAACCTTCCAGAAAAGCGAAGTCCGGGGATTCTCGACACTGACATTGATGCCTGAAGCAGAACAATGTAGCAAAAGCTTGTAAACGAAGCGATACAGTACATTGTCCTTGCGCACGGCAAGGCTCTGCTGAGACGCTGCATTCAGTGACGGTAGGCCTAGTGGGAAATCATCGGATCGCAAAGGTCTAGGGGCCTTAGAGGCAAGGGCGTGATTCTTTGGCAAGGGCCGCTCACGAGAGCGAGAAGCCGTGCCCGCAGGGGGCGCTGCATGCACGTGAAACGGAGGGCACTCCTTAATGAGATCCCAAAAGATCGACTGTGCCGAATCTAAGGTCAGATCAAGCCTGGCCACAGGAGAGACCGCTTTATGGCAAGAACTGTCTAGCCCTAAAACCCGAAAACCCAAATCCTTGCAAGCCTTGCTGAAGCGGGCAGTGCCAGCGAAGAGCTCGTAAACCCAGGAGTCTGATTTCACGGGTGGCTGCTCCTGGGCAGTCACAGGAATGGGGAAGGAAAGATCAGGCGGGGGCCTAAACCCTAGATCAAGCAAGGTCCTGGCTGACTCAGTTGGGATTTTCTCAAGGCTAGCGACAGTGAAGGCCACGCAAACCAATCTATCGCCAACCCAGCTTTCCGTCTCGTGAGGGTATTTGAAGGCATCAAAAGTGATTGGGGTCTCGAGGCTAAGGATTGAGCCTTTCACGATGTCACCCTTGATTGTCCGTTTGTGAGGCCCGCATCCATCGGCAATCCAGATGCCACCTCCTTGAAAAGAAGTCACGGCAATGACCCCGTTGGGGGTACGATGGTTCCTAGAATCGACATGCAAATCGGTTTTGGTGTTGTGAAACAAACTGATAGTCGTGAAGAAATGCTCTGGCAAAAAGGTGCGAACAAAAGCAGTGAGGAGCTTTATGCAGGATGGAAACAGCGCACATTCACTCCGAAGACCCTGCAATCCACCCTTTGCGTAGGCCCCACAACTGAAGCTGCTCGGAGGCTGCGAGGAGGTTCCTCTAGAAGGAATCTCCTTGGGCAAAAGATCGAAAATCTGACCAACATCTTGCTTAGTAATCTCTGACCCTCTGGCCAAAATGGCCTGCGCGAGGACCTCAGCATCACTAGGGGCAGAATCCGAAGTGGCCACGAGGTCAGGCCCCTGGGGCCTCGCATGGCCCCATCACTGTACTTGATTTGTGCATTCAGTAAAGGGGTGATCCCCAAAACATCGCCAACACTGGTGAAAGCCTCGCGGGCATCTTCCTTTCGTCACATTGAGCTTGCACGTGCCTAAATTAAACCCAAAACAATTCGGCTTGCCTTGAGGATCTTTGGCCGCACAGCCATCCGGAATGGTCACACGAGGTGCCTTGCCACCGCCTTTCTCGCCGCCCTTGGTGGATGTCTTGCCCTTTCCGTCGCCTTTGTTAGGCGTGGCAAGCTCCTTGAAAGGGCGCTTCGTGGGATGTGGTGCAGGAGGAGGAGCTACCATCGGCTGGAGAAATTGATTTATCTGCTGGCTACCCGAGAGGTCACGCAAAGCTGCATCCATGGGTTTCTCCACACCTATGGGTTTCTGCAATTGTCCTTCAAGCTTGTCGGCCAACCGGACAAAAAGCTCACGATCTGCCGTAACGACTTGTCCCAAGCTGACTGCTACATATCCCTTTGGCACGGTACGCTGAACTGCCTCGAAGAGTTGGTTGATCCATGTTTCCATTGCTTCAAAGCTGCACAAGTGACCTAGATCAAATGCTAACGACCTTCTCTGGAAGGCCTGCCGGAGAGGGTACATGCCAGTGGTGTCGCACGTAGGCTCCGGCTTTTTCTGGACGACCTTCAAGTTGCCCTCGTTGTCCATCTGAACGGCAGAATCCTTCTTCTGAAGAGACATTTCTTGGAAGCGGGATATCCATCTGTTAATCGGAATGTACTTGAGTGTGTTATTCTCGTACATGTCAGTAACAAGGTCGATACAGCTGTGCGCAGGAGTGGTATGCGAAGTCAGAATGAGACCCGACAGCCTACGATGCTGCGCCTCGATGCGCTCCTTTCTCTCGGCCTGGGGCAGGCGACGCACGGAACCTTCCGGCGTGCCTTCGACCCTAGATTTGAGATCCGCCACATTGAGTGATTGCGATTCAAAAAGCAACCTACGGATCACCGAAACCTGAAAGGAACCAGGAGACGGGGTGACCACAGTGGCTAGCCATGAATCGACAGCTTCGTCTGTCAAACCCTGCGGTGTGGAAGAAGCGGCGAAAGCGAGCTTTCCAAATGTGTTGTAGCCGGCTTCAATCAACTTACCGAGAAGATCGTTGCTGAGGCCTATTTTACTGCATCTCTCACGGAACGAAGCTTCACTGTCCAATATGACAGAGGACATGGCTCAGCCCGCAGGCTACTCGAACTCGGCCGTTGTCACAGTATCGAAGCAGAATGCTTCGGTCACTGTCTGAGCCAACGGGCGCGGGATCCACGCTTTGACATGTCGCCAAGCTGCTGCACAGCTAACCCCAACATCGTGATTTCAGCAACGTCACTTTAAGCATGTCCGCCAAAACTTCTGGCACCACGGGCCATAGGCCGGTGCATACGGCAGGGTTGCGTTTCACAGTCCTACGTCAGATCCAGCCCGCGACATCTCCAATAGACAAGGTCTGGGTTTTCGGAATGCCACGGGCTCGGAAAGCCGGCATCCGCAGTCTGTCACCTCGGGTCAAAGACCGGTGCCATGTGTATTCTCAGGGGCCACGTTATACAGCCCCAACAGTTCACGTAAAGGTCGAATGCAACTCACTCCTCCTGGGGAAAGCAAGTCCCACGGATCCGAAGGATCGGGACGTCTATTTCTCGCAGTTGACCATACCACAAGCTCGCCACGGGCTAAAAGCCGGCGAAGCAAAAGACTCGCAATGGCACATACCACCACCGAGCTCGGCCGATTTTTCTTTCGACAGTATCTGTTCAATCAGCGCTCGACATCGCCCGCCTGCACTGATGGCAGGTGTCCGGGTCATCGGCATCGTCTTCCTCGAAGTCCCTGTATCTGTCTGTCAGGGGACGCCCACAAAAGAAAGTGCCCTCGTCCCTGAGTCGATGAACGATGCCAGACAGGCTATGCACACGAAGCTCGGCCACGGTGCATTCGAAAG